GTGTATTTGAAGAAACAATAATCAGAAATATGTATTCATAAAGTATCTATGGATTCTATACTATTGGTAAATCACCAACATTTTTAAAAATAGCTACACTATTTTCAAAACATCTTTCAAAAAAGATGCTCAATAAATAGCATACTAAAAATGTATTAAACATATTATTTGAACCTACTATTCTCACAGGCAACATATTGCTTCCCAAATGAATAATGCTGCACACCATTTTCTATGTAAATTTTATACAGCAATTATTTGCCTCATTGCTTTCTTCTTTGAAATGAGAATTTAACAGGAATAATAATGATGCAACTAAATTATTTTCCCATTAAAAAAAGTAAACTGCACTAAAAATAAAATGATTGCAATTCTGCATTTGAGCAGCAAGAAACCTTTCATAGTCCAACAACTTCTCCACTATTACAAACAAGATTTCTTATCTCGGCTTTAAAGTACGGTGATTATCTATTCCAACACAGAGCACACATTTCCCGTTGTCAATCAATGAGGTTACTAGTTCACTGATAACTCTTAATTCACAGCTTGATATTACCCAATAGCAGCAAATGTATGAGGAACTGATGTTCTGCACCTATGCCTTGTACAAAACAATTCTGAAACTGAGGTGGATAGATTTTTGTTAGGTAAGGGTATCAAGTGATATGGAGCAAAGGTGGTTAAATGGAGTTGAGGACCAGATCGGCCATGATCTAATAGAATGGCGGAACAGGCTCGAGGGACTGAATGGCCTACCTCTGTTCCTACGTTCCTATGAAACACTGGAAGGCCATTTTGGCAAAGTGTGAATCTTCAAACAGTCATGGTTGATGAAATATCATCTAATGTACAAAATGCAATACATCACTGCATTTTGTACATTAGAATACAATACACTACTGTCTACTTCCTTACTTACAGGTAAACTGATAACTCGTCACTCCAAGGGAAAAGGGTTCAGCTACATGTTGTCCAGAATGGCAAGTTAGGCATATGTATAAATACATTAATAAATTCACTGGGATACTGACAGCATGACGACTTAAGTGGCAATGACAAGTTATCAGGGTCGAGTTATCAGGAGTTTACTGTAGAAGCCTACAGATTTCAAAATAAATACTGCATCAAGATTTTGGCTGTAAAATATTAACATATACATATATAAATATACTATATATAGGGAAAATTCCATTCATAATATATGAATCATAATTAATAAAGTTTTACGGTTCAAAGACAGTTTCAACTTGCCTCTTAAGGTGTGCAGAACATAAAACATAAAAGATTTTTAGAACAACCCAATTGCTACTGTATTTCTAACTTTCTTTGCCTTTTAAAAAAATCCTCAAAATCACAGATATAATAAAATGGATGCATATTTAACATTTATGTGAAGAAAATAATTTCTCTCCTTCAACTGCCACAAGTCACAACATGGAATATTTTTATCTTCTTTCTCAATCATGTAGATCAGAAGCACATTTAACACCCTTATCATCTTCACATAAACTGGCAGCAGCTGAGGTCAAGCAGTTTCGAGATGTTATTCCATGTGAAAGGCGCTTATATAAACGCAAATTGTTGTTGTTTTTGTATAATCATAGAATCATAGAATCGTACAGCACAAAAAGAGGCCATTCAGCCCATCGAGTTTGTGCAGGCTCTTTGAATAGAGCAATTAATGTCAATCCCACTCCCCAGCCCTTTCCCCATAACCTTACAAATCCGTCCTCCTCAATTACCCGTCCACCGCGTTTTTAAAGTTGTTATCGAATCGTCCTCGACCACCCTGTCAGGTAATGCGTTCCAGATTCGAACAACTCGCTGCGTGAAAAAATTTCTTCTCACCTCCCCTCTGCTTCTTTTAGAGACTATTTTGAATCTGTGACTTCGAGTCACTGACACACCCACCAGTGGAAACAGTTTTTCCCTTTCTAACCTATCAAATCCCCTCATGATTTTGAAGACCTCTATTAGGTCTCCTCGTAACCTTCTCTGCTCCAATGAGAATAATCCTAACCTCTCCAGCCTTTCCTCATAATCAAGGTTAATCATAACCTCCTGATTCTTGTACTCTATGCCCCTATTTATAAAGCTTAGTATCCCATATGCCCTTTCTCAGCTTTATCTACCTGTCCTGCCACCTTCAAGGATTCATTTACCTGCACCCCCAGGTCTCTCTGTTCTTTTACCCCCCTTAAGATTGTATTACCAGCCTATATTGCCTCCCCTCATTCTTTCCACCAAAATTATTACCTCGCATTTCTCCACATTGAAACTCGTCTGTCATGTGCCTGCCCATTTTACCATTCTGTCTATGTCTTCCTGCAGTTGGCTGCTATCCTTCTCACAGTTTACCTAATTCTACCTAATCATAGAATTGGACAACACAGAATGAAGCCATTAGCCAATCAAGCCTGTGAAGGACCACTGAACAAGTTATCCATTTAGACCCACTCCCCTGCTCTTTCCCCTTTAACTACTATGTACAGTTTTTTTAAATATTTGTCATATCCCTTGTTCAACCTACTATGGTTCTTCTGTATTTTTGGTAGCACACTTCATGTCCTAATTACACTCATTAGGACAATATGCTGTCAAGGGGAAAGAAAGTTAGAAATGCAGTAGCAATTGTGGGTTAAAAAAAAACTAACTTTTTTTTGCTGATGGTCTTAAAGTTATGCATGATTCACCAACCAGTGGTAATATTTTTTACCATTTACCCTCTCATACTTTTACAGTGTTGTGAATCCACTCAAAATTCTTAGTGAAACAAAGTGAGCTTTGATATGCAGATGATACTAAACCAATCCTAATCCCTTCTGCATTGTAGGAAACATTTTCCTCTGCAGTCAGTAAACCCTGAAGCAACATAAAAATTCACATTATGATTGCTGAAAAGGGCAGCGGAAAATATGAGTCAAGGAGAATTGAGAAATCATGCATTATCCTTACATCTCTATTATCATGAACAGAAGAGCCATGATCACTTCCTTCCGATTAGGTATAATCTATCAGAATCTAACTTTCAGAATCTAGAATCTAACTTTTTAAAAAACACTTATTTTTCCAAGTGCATTTCTTCATGCCAAGTGCTGCAGGGCATTACCGTATGTGAGGGGAGCTATATAAATGCAAGTTGTTGTTGTTATTGACTGCCCAACTGAGACAACCAGGTAGGGCACCTGAATTTAGATCTCTATCAAAGCCATAACTACTGATTGTTCTACCCTCCCAGAGTGAATGTCTCTCACCTTAGTTCAGCACCTCGCTCAGTCATCATCAGCCTAGTTGTGATTGAGATAATAATAATCCTTGCATTTGATATAGCACCTTATCAGGTCTTCGAGATGTCTCAAACGCTTCACAGGCAATACTGTAAAGTGAATTGACTATATTTTGTGGGCGAAACGCGGCAGCCAATAGCGCACAGCAGTGTCCCACAAACAGCTGTGGATTGAGTGACCAATTTTTTTTAAAAAAAGGATTACCCCCAAAAAAGCGATCCGCCAATCACCTAACAGCCGAGTTCCGACTTACTGCTAAATGAACAGAAGCATGTGGAGTAAGAAACTTGCCTCAGGCTTTGCCCTGTCCGGTAATCAAACCCAGGTCCTCACGCTTGCGAGACGAGTGCTCTAACCACTGATCTACAGGACTCCACAAGTATAGTAAATTATAGAGCAATTTTTGCACTGATACACCAAAGGTGCTGTGTCAATGGGTCATCTTCACTTTTCTGACCTATAATTGAATCCTTGAAATATCCTCGTGATTCAGTAGCCTGTCCAGAAAGGCAATATATTTTTACATTGCAACTTGTCCATTTTCTGCTTAATTTCCACCTTCTTATTTCTGTAGTGATAGCACTGCCCTCTTGTGGTATTCATCACAAGCGTGCAATTCAGATAAAATTCACTTAAGAGTGCTCCAAGTTACTTCATTTGTGAGTGCCCACTATTATCTAACTTATTGCAACTTTGTGCCAAATCTCTAAAAATGTCCTAACTATTCTTATAAGAAGTATGTTTCAAAATGCAAAGCAGTTAGTAGTACAAACGTATGTCCTTATTGCTTTAATACTTTACCTTTACAAACCAAGTGAGAAAGCCAGACAAACTGTAACGGGTGCGAGGAAGTATTTTTTAACTGCTAAAGCAGAGATCATATTGCATTTGATGCAATAACTATATGGAACTCCTGCATATTTTGTAGCATAAGAGTTAGGATTAGGTGTAAAACATTTGAAATGATATTGTATGCAACTCACTGTAATATGTATGCTATGACAGTTTAATCATATTTCCTATTCTCTATTGGAGAGAAATGAAACATTACCCGAAATTCCTCACTGTACTAATTATATATCCCCCGCTGGAGTTGACATGACAGCACAAGCTATGCTCCATCAGTTGGTGGCTTTCCCCCTCAGTGCCCAACAAATATAGTTCTGCATCAATGGTAATTGGGACAATGAACATAGATTCAAAGCGTGTGCAAGTGTTTTCATTTTTGGAATTCTGTAAGTGTGACCCCACTCCACAAAGAAAACGTGTGCATATAAACATGTAATTCATTCAAACATGTTTACTTTTCACCCTTTTAACAATATATTCAAATATATTATGATTGTGATTTGTTTTAATACTTTATGTGCTTCATTTTATAAATGAATATAAGCTACAATGAGGAGAAATCCTCATAGGACTCAAAGAAACAGCGCAGGGTGATCTTAAAAACTTCACTTTCAGTTCTCCAAAAAGGATTTCAACTCAATAATTTAATAATTTCATATTTGATCTACAATAATAATGATCCTTACATTTGATATAGTGCCTCATCACGTCGTTGAGACATCTTAAAGTGCTTCACACAATATATTGTAAAGTGGATTGACTGTGTATTTTATGTGAGAAACACGGCAGCCAATTGCACACAGCAATGTCTCAATGAATAACCTATAGAATATTCAGTCCAATACACAAAATAATTTGACTTACCTGAAAGTAATTGTATCAAGTCAGTAATTTCCCTTAAAAAGCCCAAATCACTGCAAAACAAAATCAATTATAAATTGGATGCAACTCAGTACCTAGTGGTACAAATACACCACTTGCTTCTTGTAGCCTCAACAAAAGGAGTTAATTATATTCTACAGCCAATAATTCCGATTGCACCAACAAAATCACATAAGTTCAATTAAGATGAAAATTCAACTACCCAAAACTAAAACAGATGAAAAATTAGTTTCTAACAGATTTATGCTACTGCTAGTTTTCCTATATGTGCAAGACTTGTAAACCTCACACCTTTTAGGCCCCTATGCAGAAATTCATTTATAAATTTTCTTCTATCTTCTATATATATATAACACGATATATATACACTAATAAAACAACTTGCACTTCAAGAAGGAGCTCAATATATAATAATAATAATCCTTGCATTTGATATAGCGCTTTTCACGTCGGGAGGACGTCCCAAAGCGCTTCACAGAATATACTGTAAAGTGAATTGACTGTATATTTGTGGGCGAACGCGGCAGCCAATTGCGCACAGCAGTGTCCCACAAACAGTCATGGATTGAAAATGACCAATTTATTATTGTTTTTTGTTTTGGAGGGATTATTATTAGGCGTGTGGAGTAAGGAAACTTGCCCAAGGTTTCGCCCTCTGCCTGGAATTGAACTCAGGTCTCTCACTTGCAAAGCGAGTCCTCTAACCACGGAGCTACAGGACTGCACGTCAATTGACCAATTGATGTAGAGATGTGATTTATACCTCATCAGAAAGGTCTTGCATCAGGGTGTGACATGGGCATATTTGTTTTCAGGTATCTCCTACTGTTTAGAGTTATTTAAGTTTCGCGTTTTTCGCTGAAGTTACACCTGGTGGCTGCGCCAACTGACCAGAGCATGTCACAGAGCACACATGTAGCAAAGAACACAGGCAAAGCTAAGCTGTGGCAACAACAACAAAATTAAATTTTTAATGCGCCTTTCACGTTGGGAGGACATCTCAGTGATTATAAATTATACATTATAAAGATTATATAAAGATTATAAAGATGTCTACGCAAAAATCAAAATTTCAAAGATAAGTAAAAATGCTGCACAAAAGAGAGAAGGCCCATTAAATAAAACTGAAGAACAAAGTCCTCCCTAAGGAGTCCTTCCATTTGAGTGTAGATAAAGATGAAATGTCTGTCTGTGTTCAATCTACATTCCATATTTGATCCTTTGGTTGCAAGTGTAGCTACAACGGATATAGCTAGTATATATATATATATAAAAATGTATTTATAACAATTGATATAAATGTGCATTGGTTTCAAACCTGTTCTAGAGGGTACAAGCCGAGTAAATCCATAATGAGACACGGCAAATGGGCATTTATAGTTGAGACAAATGATCGTCTCTGCTTAAAACATGATAATGTTTTATCATGTCCTACTAAACCCGCCGCCTCTCGTTCCCAGCGTGCGCTTCTTGGCTGCCGCCCCCGACCCGAGCTGGCCCTCCCACAAAATGACCCCTTCTCTGCAACTCTCCTGCTCTGTCCTGCTCTCTCTCCGCCCTCCCCGCCTCCTATCTCTGCTTGAACCCCCGCACACTGCCTCCCTCTGCTCCAGCCTGGGAATCCTCTGCCGGGCTCATGGTGGCAGTCGGTGCTGGCTGTCCAGTAGCAGCCACACCGACTGCCCCATTCTCTACTACCATCGCAAGCCACCCTGGACCCTGACACCGGGAGCTAACCTCCCCTCCCTTATTTGCATCCCCACCCACCCTCCCAACCATTCCATTACCCCCTCTCATCCCACGCATCCCCCTGCCAACTGTCCACTCTGCATTGGACTTCAAAATCTCCGCTCCATCTCCAACAAGATCCTGGCCATCAATGAACTCATCCTCGATGAGAACATTGACATCATGGCACTAACAGAAACCTGGATCACCCAGGTGACACCTTCCCCCTCACTGAGGCCACACCACCCGGCTACACTTACCACCATACCCCATGCCCTAACCGTCGTGGCGGTGGTGTGGCACTCATATCCAGGGCATCACTTGCCCTATCCCTCTACTCCACAGGCTCATTCCCCTTCTTCGAACATCTTACCCTCTGCCATCCCTCCCACCTCTCTCTGAAAATTCTCTTACTCTACCGCCCCCCAAAATCCTTTCCCATCTTCATCTCTGACATCTCCACTCTCTTTGCTTCCCTCTGCCTCTGCTCCGACCACCTCATCATCCTAGGCGACTTCAACCTTCACTTCACTCCCTCCTGCTCCATCACCTCAGACTTCTCCTCTCTCCTCTCTCAACCTCTCCCTCCACATCCACTCTGCTACCCACACCCACGGTCACCCGCTCGACCTGATGATCACCCGGGGCCTCAGCATCTCGGATGTCACCATCACTGACAAGGCCATCTCTGACCACCATTTAATTTCCCTCAATTCCCATATCCCTCTCCCTGCTGCCTCCAAACCTACCACCATCTTCTACCGCCTGTGGAAGAAGATCTCCCCGCAATCCCCCTCTGCTGCCCTGGAGTCCTCTGATCTCCTCCCCCTCTGGCCCACCTCTCGCAACAATCCACTCACTGCACTCACTCTTCTCCACAGCACCCTCTCCACCACACTCAACGTCCTTGCCCCCCTCACCTCCCGAACTGCCTCCTATTGCTGATCCTCACCCTGGTTCACCAACCACCTCCGCTTGCTTAAGGGCCAGGTGCAGGCTGCCGAATGCACTTGGCTCAAATCCCGCCTAACGGGGCACTGCCATATCTGGCTGGACCTCATCAAAACCTACCACTCCGCTCTCGCCTCGGCCAAATCATCCTTCTGCTCCAGGTTAATCCTGGAGGCGAAAGGCAATTCCAGGCTCCTGTTCTCCACCACTAACCGGCTCCTCCGCCCTCCCCGCCACGCCTTGCAGATACTTTCCTCCAACTCTCGCAGCGAGAAAATGCTGGACTTCCTCGAGTCCAAAATCGAGGGAATCCGCACACTGCCCTCCCAACTTCCAACCCCTCCCTACCCTCACCCCACACAATTATTCATCTGACAATTACCCATCCCTCCTTCCACACGTTTGAATCTGTCACCCCCTCCTCTGTCAACACAGTAACCTCCATGAAGTCCACCACCTGCTCCCTTGACCCCATCTCCACCCCCACCCCTCTCCTTAAATCCCAACTCTACCTCCTTGCCCCACTACTCGCCGACATCGTTAACCTCTCCCTGTTATCTGGCACCGTTCCTTCCCCCCTCAAAACAGCTACTATCACCCCCACCTTGAAAAAACCTTCCCTCGACCCATCACAGCTATCGAGCTACCGGCTCATCTCAAACCTCCCTTTCCTATCCAAGGTCCTTGAGAGAGCCGTTGCCTCCCAGCTTCGCTTTTTCCTCTCCTCTCACTCCCTCTATGAACCCCTCCAATCGGGTTTCTGTGCTGCCCACAGCACAGAAACTGCTCTGGTCAAGGTCACAAACGACATCCTGACCATGTGTGACCAGGGCTACCTCTGCCTTCTCATCCTCCTCGACCTCTCCATCGCCTTTGACACAGTGGACCACTCAATCCTCCTCCACCGCCTCTCCTCCCACCTCAACCTTCAAGGTTCTGTCCTTGACTGGTTCAGGTCCTATCTTTCACACCGCCTCCACTTCGTCATGGCAAACGGTTTCTCTTCCAGCCCCCGCACTGTCTCGTGCGGTGTCCCTCAGAGCTCTGTCCTCAGTCCCCTCCTCTTCACCCTCTACATGCTCCCCCTTGGTGACATCACCCGCAGACATGGGGTAAATTTCCACATGTATGCAAATGACATCCAACTCTACCTCTCTGCCTCCACCCTGAACTCCAGGATTACTGAGGTCCTGACCAACTGCCTGTCTGACATCAAGTCCTGGACGAGGGCCAACTTTCTCCAACTCAACATCAGCAAGATTGAGGCCTTCCTGATTGGCTCGCGCCAGCGCCTCCACACCTCAGGCACTGGCAGCATCAGCCTCCATGGCTGCACACTCAACCTCACTAAGCCAGTCAGGAACCTGGGTATCTTGTTTGACCCTGAACTGTTCTTTCTCCCCCACATCTGCGCCATGACCGGCACTGCCTACCACCATCTTCGCAACACTGCCAGACTCCGCCACTGCCTCACCACTCAGGCTGCCGAAACCCTCACCCACGATTGCAGAGAACATCCATGGCCTTGCCTCCTCCTACCTCTCTGACCTGCTGACTCCCTACCAACCTGCCCGCTCCCTCCGTTCATCGGGCTCCGGCCTGCTCCATGTCTCCCACCCGACCCGCACTATCATCGGTGTCCGGGCTTTCAGCCTCTCTGCCCCCCGCACTCTGGAACTCCATCCTTCGCCTCTCTTCCTCCCTCGCATCCTTCAAGGCCGGACTCAAGACCCTTCTCTTCGACCGTGCCTTTGGTCTGCCTTACCTCACCCCTACACCACCCCTCCCCCATGCTCGGGCCCCGACAGCTGACTGTTCAGCGCTTTGGGACGTCCTCCCAACGTGAAACACGCTCTATAATTGTAATTTTGTTATTGTTGTTGTAATGATCCCTTATATCTTATTGGAATATAAAATGGATTCCCTGCTTGTTTCCAATTAGGTGTGAATGGGAAATCAAAATAGGCATGATGCTAAGTACAGAACCTTTGCCCTCCCTAAAAGGTTCTAGTCCAACCAAAGGATTTTAAAGAGCTTCTAACTGGTTTATGCCAGTCTCGCTGACATCTTGAATGTCTGTTAATCTGTCATCCATCAAAGATTGGAATCCATACCTAACCTCCACTAACCAAAAATCCAAGAAGAATGTCAAACAGCCCGCATATCAGCAAAGCTAAGATGCATTGTACTTTTCAGCACCAAAGCTTTTGATTCCTGCAGTGAGAGCGGACTGTAAACCAGCCCTCCTTGCTTACCCTAGTTACGTTAACCTGGATTACTGAGTGAAATCTTACTATCATCTCAATTACTCCAATTTGAATATCATTGCATTGCATTGCAACACCTATGTTGTTTGAAAACCTTTACATAGTAGACTAACTATTGATTGGAAATCATTACATAGTAGAAATTCTTGCTAAGGCAGAATCCAAACGCTATGTTAAGACTGTTAAAGGAGGAAAGGATTTGATAGGTTAAATAAGATATATTTTCTGCCGTGGAGATCCGAATGGCATTTCCACCCTGAGCCATTCTGGTAATGTGTTGCAGAGAATATCCAATTTTTTCATCAGTGACTCTGACATTAACCTACCTGTCTGATTAATATGACCAATTTGGGACTTTCCTACTACCTAGACTTTCCTGATTTAGTCTGTGGAGTCCTGTACTGTTTGTGGGACACTGCTGTGCGCAATTGGCTACTGCGTTTCGCCCAGAAATATACAGTCAATTCACTTTGCAGTATATTTTGTGAAGCGCTTTGAAACATCTAGAAGACGTGAAAAAGCGATATATCAAATGCAAGGATTATTATTATTATTACCTCAATCAAGAGGATAAACTATGTGGATGGAAGGATCTACCAAAAGCCCTCCACTATGCAGAACATTAAGTCCTTAGAGTTGAATTGGCCTTGCGTGCCATTGATCTTCCCTGGCCTTTCCTTTTCTTCCCTTGAACATTAACTATGACATTGTTCAAGATGGAAAAGTCGTTGAACATTTGTTTGCATTCAATCTTATGGTTCTTAAAGCTTACAGAAACATTTAACAGATTTCTTCCCACCACCACCCTCCCAACCCTACCCATGGGAATAAGGACTAGAAGATCTGTGTGAACTTGCTACAAAGCTCAATCTTTATCGTACTCTGTAGCAAACACACCAGGTGTATCCTCCACCAGCAGCGCCACATCTTCTGGCATCATTTGACGGTACTTGTGGTGGAGATCTTATCTGTACTGTACTGGATGTTTAGTAACTAATGCATCCTTGGGATAAATCCATAGTAGTTTGTGGATTTGGATTGCAAAACCCATATATATGAGAGAGAATGAATGTGTCTCACTGATGAGACATTCATAATAATTTATTTTAATTATATCAATATATGTAAAGTAACTTATATTCAATCTATCAATTAAATAACTATAAAAAGTCATAAAGGAGCATACCTGAATCAATTGCAGGCTAGCCTTTTCCAAGCAGAGTAAAGAATTTTTCTCCTCAAAAGATGTCAGATTTTTAAAGTTCTGTGGTCTTCTGATAGTTGCACAAAACCACTATCTTATATATTTTTATATCTTTGGTAGTCCAGGTTGGTCTTTATTCTGAAGTTCATGTTCATCCAACTCAATTATTTCATCTCATACTTTTCAGGCCCTAGGGTTCGAAGAATTGATGTATGTGCCAAAAAGTTACACTTCTATGCTACTAGTGAATTGTCATTGAAATTATTGCTTACAAAAGATGTGAATGAGTTAATACTGTCAGTGATCAACATCATCTTGAACCCTTATGTATCATTCTCAGTATTGACAACAGCCTCCATTATATTTGTTAAAATACTTATGACAGCATGACTTAAATTTATATGTCATGGCCCTTAATATATTGTTCCAACTAAGATCTCCTCTTGCCAGTTTAGATTTCCAACATCCAATATTCATGAAATTGTACAAACCAGCAGTCACCAAGTTCTCTTAATTCAGAAACAGTGTGCAATTTACTAAATAGATCTTATTTTCAATATTATAGTATTTTGTAAATAGACAGCAAATGAATCTAGATCCTCGTATATTAAAACTTTAAAGTTGGAAACCACTAGTATTATACATCTAACTTAAAGCTTCCCCACTCCCCTCCCCTCTTCTGGTTTAATGAGAAGTAATACAACCTGCCGCTATTTTGTACCATGGATGTAATGACCCTGTAATTAGCCAATAAAATATGCATGGTGGGTTGTATAGTTTTGAGTGAAAGGCAATACTAAAAGGTTTTACCATTGTTTCACCTAAACTCAATATATGAAGTTAAACTTTAATTTCAAAAGCACTGTGCAGAAAAACAACTTGCATTTACATAGAAGCCTTAAAGTGGGGTAGCAGCCCGCAGCGCTTAAAAAGCCAACTTTTAGAAAAATCTAAGGGTATTTATTGTGTAATATTTAATACATTGATCATCTGTTTCACTATGTTTTAGTTATTTTCTTCATTTTACCAATTGTTCACAGCATATTTATTTATTCACATATTTTATTCATCTACAAAATATGCAGTCACTACATTTTACAGTACGTTCTGTGAAGCGCTTTGAAACGTCTCAAAGACGTGATAAGGCATTATATTAAATGCAAGTATGATTATGAAGCCATAGACTATTGCCTAAAAGCAACATGAATACTTAACCTACTATTCTGTAACTAGCTGTTGGAAGATGATTCACCCACAACTGCTTGCCTTATAGAGCAGACTCACAGTAAAATATGCAGGTCAACTTCCACATGTATGCGGATGACATCCAATTCTACCTCTCTGCCTCCACCCTTGACTCCAGGACCAATGCTGTGCTGACAGAAGTCTGTCAGATATAAAGTCCTGGATGAGAGCTACCTTTCTTCAGCTGAACATCAACAAGACCGAGGCCCTCCTGATTGGCCTCCTCACCTCAGACGCTGACATCACCATCCATGGATGCACGCTCCACCTTGCTAAGTCAGTCCAGAACCTTGTGGTCTTGTTTGACCGTCAACTATCCTTTCTACCCCACATCTGTGCCATGACCCTCTCTGCCTTCCCCCTACTCCGCAATGTCGCCCGACTCTGCCACTGTCTCACACCGCAGGCCGCCGAAACCCCTTATATATGTTTTCATTATATTGAGGCTTGACCATATAATAAAAACGCATTGCTTGTCGGCCTTCCCAACTCCGTCCTCCACAGGCTGCAGATCATCCAGAAGTCCGCAGCGCGTATCCTCTCCCGCATTAGGCTCCATGACTCTATCACCCCCATCCATGCCCAACTCCACTGGCTTCCCATCACACAGAGGATACAGTTCAAGGTCCTGGTCCTCACCTTCAAAGGCCTCCACAGTCTTGCTCCCCACTACCTCTCCGACCTGCTAACCCCCTACCATCCTGTTCGCTCTCTCCGCTCAGCGGGCTCCGGCCTGCTTCACATACCCCACCTCACTCACCCCACTATTGGCAGGCGGGCCTTCCGCCACTCTGCCCCCACCCTCTGGAACTCCATCCCACAATCCCTCCGTCTCGCCCCCTCCCTTGCCTCCTTCAAGATCCATCTCAAGACCCTCCTCTTTGACCGTGCTTTCAATCTCCCTGCTTCCCCCCCTCTGCCTCCACCCTCCCCCACACCGACCCCCAGCTCAGGTCCGTAACTCTGTCTGTCCAGCGCCTTGGGACGTCCTCCCGACATGAAAGGCGCGATACAAATGTAATTTTGTTGTTGTTGTTGTTATAGGTTATTTGTTTGATTGTAATGGACAAAGTAGGCAAATAATGCTCAGCTGCCACATTATACTTCTAGATCATAATGAACCTATGATCATGCAAGGCCAGCCTCAACATGCATTTTCAGTAAGCAGAAGAACTCACATAATAAATGCTGGATAAATAAAATGCTAGAATAAAAGTATAGTTTGTTTGGTAAATAGTGTATGTCACTTTTTTATTTTAATTTTAGCATATATTTTGTCATCCATACTTTATAATCCCAGTATGTATCATCAAGATTTTTAATGATGGTGCAAATAAATAAAATGAAGTCAAATGAAATATAGTACAACCATTTTACTTTGAGGGATGGGGAGCCAATGGTGCCGGGCGAGGGTGGGGGTGATGGGGCCATGGAGCCTGGTGCAGGAGAGGACATGAGATGATCTGCAGCTCGCGGGGGAAAGAGATGGGGAGGCCAACAAGGAGGGAGTTTCCATAGTCGAGGCTTGAGTTGACGAATGTGTGTATGAGGGTTTCGCCAGCCTGAGAGGTGAGGCAGTGACAAGAGTCAGGTAATGTTGTGGAGGTGGGGGAAGGTAGAGCAGGTCATGGTATGGATATAATAATAATCCTTGCATTTGATATAGACTTATCACATCATTGAGACGTCTCAAAGCGCTTCAATGGGGGAGAAAACACAATTGAGGGTCGAACAAGACGCTCAGGTTCCTGACTGGCTTGGTGAGGTGGAGTATGCATCTGTTGATGCTGATGCTGCCAGTGTCTGAGGTGCGGAGGCGCTGGCACGAGCCAATCTGGAGGTCCTCGGGCTTGCTGACATTCAGCTGTAGAAAGTTGGCTCTCATGCAGGACTTAATGTCTGACAAACAGTCTGTCAGGATATCAGTTGTTCTGGAATCAAGGGTGGAGGAAGAGAGATAGAGTTGGGTGTCATCTGCGTACATGTGGAAGTTGACCTCACATCTGGAGATGATGTCACCAAGGGGAGCATGCAGAGTTTGAAGAGGAGGGGACCGAGGACAGAGCCCTGAGGAACACCGCACAAGACTGGGGCTGGAAGAGAAACCGTTGGCAGAGACAAATTGGAGACGGTGTGAGAGATAAGACCTCAACCATTCAAGGACAGAACGTTGAAGGTTGAGGTGAGAGTAGAGGCGGTGGAGGAAGATGGAGTGGTCCATGGTATCAAAGACAGCAGAGAGGGCGAATAGGTGAAGATTTATGTGGAGTATAATCAACCGCATGGACTGGTTGGGGTAAGTGGCATGTTTCCGTGCTGTACATTCTTTGCAAACAAATGCAAGCATTAATAATAATATTCCTATCAAGAACAAGATCTGTTAATGAGTTATTTAACAAGTTGCTTCCCCTTCCCCACGGCCCGGCATTGTGCTCTGCCAATGTCAAGTGCTCTGGGACACTACCCTGCATGAGGGGCATTATATAAATGAAAGTTGTTGTTATTCTTAGTAAAGTAAATGCAAAAACTGCTGATTTTGAATCAAATAAACATGTGTTTGGCAAATCCTCTCTCCTCCTCCAATGTTTCACCCATAAAATACAATCCACTTTACAACATGTCCTGTAAACCACTTTGAGGTGTCTTGATGATGTGATAAGATGCTATATTAAATGCAATCATTATTATTATCAATACATTAGCAGGCTTTCACTTGTACCCACAAAGGCCGCCAGTTTTCTACATTGTAACACAGTCAGACTATCCCCCTGTATGTGTGTGTATGTGTGGGGTGGGGGGGGGGGGGGCGTGGTGCGGGGAGAAATGAGGGGAGATGAGAAAGGTCTCTTTGGAGCTGAACTTCCCAACGGAATCTTGGAATATTGAGCCCTCTGCGGCGGTCTCTGTAGCCCTGTTTCTGTGCCAGGAGTACGCGGTACTCCAGCACAGCCGGGCTGGTTCATCGGCAGGACCTGGAAGAGCAGACCAATTACTGTCGGCAGGGAGTCATCCCACTCGGCTCCCGTTACCCCTGCAAGCCAAAGCACGAGGGTAGGGTAGCCCCAGCCAGACAAACAGCAGGAAAGCTGGCCAAACAGCGATATCTAATGGCGAGCTCTGCGGCTTTAGCCGGTTAGGCTCCAGCAGGACTCTAAAGCCCCACTCCAGAGTCCCCAAGCCTCAGCTCTTTCCAACCTGGATCTCGTACTTTCCGGGAGACAGCGGCGCATTCCAGTCCAACAACCCATCTCTGGAATTCCCACGGGCGGGTGGGTGATGCCGGGGGGCTATCAGTTGGGTTTGGGTAACTCCTCAAGCAGGGGGACAGGGTTTGGCACGGTGTCAAGGCACTTGCTTGGCTGACCCAGAAACAACAGCTGCTGCGTTTAATTGCAAATCAAAAAAAAAAGCAGTTCCACACTCACTCTTTTCTTTTCTTCTCTTTCTCTCCCGCCCACCATCATGATTGCAGACGATAATAATAACAATGATAATAAAAAAAATACAACACTCGGTACCTGTCACCGACAGCAGCAGTAAGGCGGCGAAATTGCTTCTCGACCCTCTTTCCCCCACTCCCCCCTCCACCACCACCACCATCCCCCGTCTCCTGGCAACCGCCAGACCCGCCCACACGTGTCACCGCGATCACTTCCGTTCCTTTCCCCTTCACCACATCATCACCGTGAACATTGGGGGAGGAGGGGTGGGGGAAAAAGTCCCGTTCCGGCTGCTCACTCTCTGTTAGTCCTGCGCCGTCGCTTTTTGACTTTTTTTTGAAAAAAATATACAGCAAGGGCGCGAAGGTCATTTCGTTCGGGAAACTAAATGGAACGGGCGTCCGGAAAGCTGACCGTCTTTCTTTTTTTAAAAAAATAATAAATAGTCCGCTGCGTTGAAGGAAGCGTCACTACTTCAAAGGGCGCAGATTTGAAACCGCACTTGCTGCTGTGGTTGGAAGGATTCCCTGGCGGGGAATAGGCGAGCTGTCACCGCCTCCGCCCTCGGCGCGGTGCATGCCGGGGCTTGTATTTTGCCAGTGACGTCGCTGGCCATGACGCCGGCCCGTTGGTCCTCGGGGGCCGGAACTACAGCTCCCAGAGTGCTGCGCGGCCGCGCCCGAGCCTTATCCCCGCTCGAGCCCGCGGACTCGCGCTGCATTCGTGCTGACCGTTCGGTGGCTGCGGTGGAAGGTGACCTCTGCGCCAGAAGACGACAAGAAGAACATGGTCTGTATTGTAACCGTCCCCGACCGTTGCGCTGTTAATTTAACGCCCTTCTTCCTTCTCTTTCCCCCCACCCCCCCATCTCGCAGGGAATGAAGCGAATTCCCAGCCTTCCGACGGTGCAGTTGGTTCGCTCCTCGGGCTCTTGCGGGTGCCTCCCCCGCCATTGGTCCTCGAAGCCCCCCACCCTGCCAACCCCCCACGGGCTGACGAAACGCTTCGCTCGGTTTCGAGTTAGTTACACGGATAACTCCACACAAAAAAAATGAATAGCAGCAAATTAAAAACCTTTCCCCTCTTCCCCCCACTCCCTCCCCAACAAAAACAGTATCGCGACTCCGCTATGTGCGCTGTCGAGAGATGTCGGCGCGTTCAGCCGAGTCTCGGAAAATCTCTTTGGCAACGGGTTATCTTCCCCGAAGCGCTTCGCAACGATCCCAAACCCGGTTGGGTTTTTTTTTTTGCTGCCGTTGCAGAGGGCCTTTCCCCCCCCACACCCCCCCAACCCCACAAATTATAATCTTGTGCGTGTGTGTGTGTGTGCGTTTTCTCGAAAAAAAAGACGCTCCGTGCGTGGGTGGGAAGGTTGGATTATGCAACGAGGAGCAAAATCAAGTTGTTTGAATAGGGAATAGTCGCAAGTTTATGAAAACCCCATAAGTTATTGCTTTATAGTGGGCTGAATAATAATAATATCTACTATGTATAGTGTGTGTGTGTGTGTGTATATATATATATATGTGTGTGTAGTGTGTACCAGGTTAAAAGATTCACAGAGAAATAAGCTGCTCACTTCATTTAATGAAGGGCAAAGAGGTGCAAGTTGACCCCCGTCTTGTAGAAGCTAAATGGGAAGAGTGTTTTTTTTCTCTCCCCTTTAAATTGCTTCTCTGACGTATTCGCACTCAAGTGCTGAGCATCGGGTTCGTGGGTCACCGGTTTTTTCGAAATGCCAACGGTCCGCTTCCGTCTCTCGAGGGGTCCACCTTCAACGACCCCTTTGGCGACGGTTTGCGCACATCCCTCTCCCAACTGCTTTCTGTGGTGCAAGGTCAGCAGAGACGTTGGCTCACCCTCCCTCACCTGTTATCTTAACGAGAGGTGATTTGTAAGCAATAGGGGTTTGAAATGAGTGCAAATAAGTTGCAAGGTCATTTCTTGGGGCCACATGTGGAAGGCGAGGCCACACCCTGTTTTCGAAGTGACATTGATGTAGGACCATATTTGTAGGGCAGTGTGCACGTATTTAAGCGACTCTTGCAAAGGTAACCTTGTTTTTTAATTAGGACCAACCGATAGGAGGCCACAGTCGAGGAGTTAAAAGGCTGAAAAGCAGAGATGATGTTAAGCATCATCAAGCAGTTTTTTTTTTTTTTTGGGGGGGGGGGGGGGGTCTGAAATCAAAATTAAAATCACTTTTAGCGAAGTAATCCTTGGGCTGGTTTGAGTAATGCTCGTTTAATCCTGTTGTGCCTTGTGTTAGTCCTGCAGCATGTTAGTACACAGCAGCAGGATGTATCTCTCGTGTTTTGCCTTGTGCGTTCACCATGTGAAGTGTTGAGAAGGAGGAATTTGAGAGACGGTCTCAAGCCTGCAAGGTTCACGTACACTTTTTGCTGTCCGGTTTGATTGCGCACAGAAAGATATTTTCTGTAACTTCGCCCCGACCCCTCTCCGTTAGGAATGCTGGCAGGTCGTGGGGAATTGAGGGATAATAGTGAACATATTGTTCAGGATATCTCATTCAGGATATATCTTTGCCCTCTTTTTATAAGTGTATTCGTATTATATGTGAAAGTAACTGTTGCAATTGGTGTACCAGCATTAACCATTACAGTACTGTTTTTCAATTTGATATCAACATAAGATCCTGGGTTTTCTGTAGCGCTTTTTGTAGTTGATTTCTTCACGAACTCAGGAGACTAGAATTAGCCTGGAAAGTCATGTTGGAAAACAGCAGGAGTCACGGACACTCTCTTGCAGGGCTTCCCGCAGAGGTCACTGGCTCTCTCCGCAGGGCTTCCCGCAGGGGTCGCTGGCTTTCTCCGCAGGGCTTCCCGCAGGGGTCGCTGGCTCTCTCCGCAGGGCTTCCCGCAGGGGTCGCTGGCTCTCTCCGCAGGGCTTCCCGCAGGGGTCGCTGGCTCTCTCCGCAGGGCTTCCCGCAGGGGTCGCTGGCTCTCTCCGCAGGGCTTCCCGCAGGGGTCGCTGGCTCTCTCCGCAGGGCTTCCCGCAGGGGTCGCTGGCTCTCTCCGCAGGACTTCCCGCAGGGGTCGCTGGCTCTCTCCGCAGAGCTTCCCGCAGGGGTCGCTGGCTCTCTCCGCAGGGCTTCCCGCAGGGGTCGCTGGCTCTCTCCGCAGGGCTTCCCGCAGGGGTCACTGGCTCTCTCCGCAGGGCTTCCCGCAAGGGTCGCTGGCTCTCTCCGCAGGACTTCCCGCAGGGGTCGCTGGCTCTCTCCGCAGAGCTTCCCGCAGGGGTCGCTGGCTCTCTCCGCAGGGCTTCCCGCAGGGGTCGCTGGCTCTCTCCGCAGAGCTTCCCGCAGGGGTCGCTGGCTCTCTCCGCAGAGCTTCCCGCAGGGGTCGCTGGCTCTCTCCGCAGGGCTTCCCGCAGGGGTCGCTGGCTCTCTCCGCAGAGCTTCCCGCAGGGGTCGCTGGCTCTCTCCGCAGGGCTTCCCGCAGGGGTCGCTGGCTCTCTCCGCAGGACTTCCCGCAGGGGTCGCTGGCTCTCTCCGCAGAGCTTCCCGCAGGGGTCGCTGGCTCTCTCCGCAGGGCTTCCCGCAGGGGTCGCTGGCTCTCTCCGCAGAGCTTCCCGCAGGGGTCGCTGGCTCTCTCCGCAGGGCTTCCCGCAGGGGTCGCTGGCTCTCTCCGCAGGGCTTCCCGCAGGGGTCGCTGGCTCTCGCCCCAGGGCTTCCCGCAGGCGTCGCTGGCTCTCGCCGCAGGGCTTTAACAATAAGGAAGAATCTATTTGCCATGCTGTGATCTAGGACAACTGGCTATTTTTGCTTTCCCCACCTGTATTTATGCAAGAATTTTCTCTTAAAATGTTTTGCCCTCACTGCTGAAATCTCATTGGTCACATGACCTAAAACATAAAATCTCTGTATTGCTACGAAGTCTTTAGAGTTTTGCTATCTGTTCTTACTGCATGGATCTCTTCCCTGTGTTTTTATTGAACATTGAGTTGTGTATATCATTTATATTGTGACACATTATCACATCTATATTGTTTCTGAAGTCTCCAGGTGGGAGTGGGGGCTGAGAACGACAACGGAAAGGTGGTTGAGCATAGTGATTTTGTGCGCTTAAATCCACTCGCTTTTGGGCCTGTTTGAAGTTGCAGAAATTGTAAATGTGGGATTTATCCAGTTTGCATGTTTGAACATGTGCAGTTGTAAATGATGGTTAATTCAGGGATGCTAACCTGAACATGTGCTATATAAATACAAAAAAATGCAATTTCTTTCAGAGATTAGCAGGAAAGACTAGTTGTACACTGAATAATTAATTTATCTTTTATTCCGTCCATTCCCCCTCTCCCCCCAATTTATTTAAGTGGTTGATATATTGTACCCTTATTGGTATACAGTAATTCGGAAAACAACCGCAGAAGTGGTTTCAAGTAGAAAACTGTCTTGAGCAGTGCAGCACTTCATTGAAATCATCACACCGATTTTCTGTTCCTACAGAATCTGCTTCGTAATACAGAATGGATTAAAATAACATTGCTTTCTACTGACTAGTGATGTACATTTCATGCAGGAAAAAAATCTTTTGCATAACCTGTTTCAAAGTATTACCACAAGTGATCTGCTGCACCAATCATCCAGTCCTGTAACTCAGTGGTTAGAGCTCTCGCTTTGCAAGTGAGAGACCTGAGTTCAATTCCAGGCAGGAATTGCCTGGAATAATAATCCCTCCAAAACCAAAAACAATAATAAATTGGTCATTTTCAATCTACGACTGTTTGTGGGACATTGCTGTGCGCAATTGGCTGCCATGTTCGCCCACAAATATGTATAGTCAATTCACTTTACAGTGTGTTCTGTGAAGCGCTTTGGGACGTCCTCCCGACGTGAAAAGCGCTATATCAAATGCAAGGATTATTATTATTATTACTTCCTGTGACTACACTTTGAGGGCCGCTAACAAAATATGATTTTGGTTAACTTTTATGTCTTTGCCTTATGGACATATGGAAATAACTTTTCACTGGAACAGAGAGGGTTGAGGGGAGGCTTGATATATTCTTTAAAATTATGAAAGGTTTTGATGGAGATAATTTTTCCACTGACTGGTGTTATCCATCATCACTTATTGATTAGTCTTATCGATTGCTTTCTGAATCTTCAAACTAGATTTAATGGAATTAGATTCCTCGATCTATGCCTACGTACGCCTCCTAGTACCTCATTTGAAATACAATTACCATCCACTATTTTTCCAGTTGAAGTGTATTTGCACTTTGCATAGTTAAATTCCATCTTGGTTTGGATACTCATAAGCATAGTGATAGGTTTTTACATGTTTCAGACACCCGACTTAAACCCCTCCCAAAAAAAATTCCATCCTCTGTAGTTGCTCCAAATTGCTTAATAGATTTATGTCCGCAAGCGTTTTTTTGCTGTTCTCACAACTTACAACACCTCAAGCTTCATATCATCAGCAAACCAAGTAATATTCTTCTCTATTCCTATATCCAATCATTTGTGCATTAATTATTGGGAAATTTCTGTTCGAATAGATTAATTTTATGGTTAGTCACAAATAAGTCACAAGTCCAAATCTGCCTTTGACTGCTATACATTTTCTCAGTTTTAACTAAAAACAATGTTAAAAGGAATAAAGGACAATTTTTTAGTAAGTATCAAGTGCTGTATTTTCATATACAGTATTTAAAAATGAATTTTTGAAATGTCCAATAAAGTTTTATATTTTCCAATAATAAAACGTGCTTAGCTTCTCAAGTCGTATTGAGGAAGTCTGAACCTGAGACATACACACCACAAAGCTCCCAGATTTTATTCCTAGCTTGTGCTGGGTTATCTGCTCTCAAATAGCATGGTGGTAGATATGTAAAGCGCCTCAGCTACTCGAGATAGGAAGATAAGTCAGTGGTCCCTATACCAATGGATATCCAGTGACTCCTACTGGAAAGTGTGCATGTAATGAACTGTGATACGCAGCGTAATGAACTGTGTGCCTGCTTCTAATGTACATCAATCCTTTTGCATCTTCCAGGCTGAGCCGATTAGAGTTCTAGTGACTGGAGCTGCTGGTCAGATTGCATACTCCCTTCTCTACAGTATCGCAAAGGGTGATATTTTTGGAAATGACCAGGTAATATTCATTGCTTTTCCTGCTTTGAGGAACTAGCTCATCTTGCAAATGTCGTCCTACTGCTTTTTTCCCCTGAACTTGTTCTGGCTGTTGTAATGGATTACAGTTACAACTGCCAAAGAGAGACACCTACATCATTCTAAGGAAGTAGTAAATACATTTCATAACAGAACAATACTTGGCAGAGGAAAAAGAAGAATGAGAAGGATATCATTGTGTTAAAGATTTAACCCCAAACCAGTATTTCTTTTTAAAAGTTGGTTTGGAATACAGGCTCCGCTCAACATAAGTCATAACAACATAAGAATTAGGAGCAGGAGTAGGCCATTTGGTCCCTCGAGACTGCCCCGCTGTTCGCTGGTCAAAGATTGACCTGCTGCCTGCATTGTTTGAGTAGATTCTTTGTGACATGTATACCTACCGCGGAGAGTTAGTCGTGGCTTTCTCACAGTACAATTTTTTAAAAATCCTCACAGAAGAAAATAATCATTTTAAAAGTGGTCATAAAATGAGGCGTTTTGGATTGTATACAAATTTCTGAAATTTGGAAATCATGGAAATATTTTTGAATTGTGACATTTCCATGCTAAAAGCATTCTTTACAATGGTTCTTTTTAAAACAATCTTGTAGAAATGTGGGTAGACATGTCATGATTATGGCCTGGAAATAAATATATTTTAAACCTGTTTGCGAGCTATGAGAGTCAGATAACAAAGGCACAGCAGTGACTTAGCTAGTTCTACTTCTACTACTGAGTGCTTGAATCAGTAGAATTTTAAATGGACTGAGTATCTTGTCCAAATTTAATAGAAACATCTTAACTTGAAGCCTTGGCAGTAGAGTACAATTAGCTTTTAAACCAGTGGCGCTACCTCTAAATAAAATCAGTCATCGAAATAACAGTTTAGTTTTAATGGGGGAAATATATAAATTCATAACATCTTGTGTAACACTGAACTGCTATTTTTATTCCTACAGCCACTTATTCTTTTGCTGCTTGACATTACACCAATGTTATCAGTTCTGGATGGGTTATTGATGGAACTTCAGGACTGTGCTCTTCCATTGTTAAAGGGTAAGCAGATTGGACGTAGGGTTTTATCAACTTAATGCATTGAATTGGAAACTGTTGAGTGTAAATTTTAGAAATGTTTGTGTATGACCTTGCATTCAGGTACAAGAACATGCCTTATTTCTGAAAGGTTGAAAATGTAAGATTTTGTAAAAGGAAAGGACTGGAAACAAAGTTTAAATATTTGGCCACATTTCAATGGAGTAGGCTGTAATTTTATTTGCAACTCTCGTACATGCTAATGGAAAATCTGATGTGTGCATATATGTACTGCACTGTAAGGTGATTAGAAAGCTTCCTGCAAAGGTCAAATCTGACTTGATCTGCTCACCTGACCAGTATTTCACAAGTTGGTATAAAAAGATGTATTTTGATTGGCATTTACTTATGTCTAACAGCTAATTCAATGATCTGACTTGAGATGACGGTACATGTATGCAATTTTTCAACTTGGAACAGACATGCCCAAGATTAGGAAGCGGTTACCCATTTAAGGCAGATCCGTTCTGCTCATCAATACAATTATATATGTGGATTATAACTATCAGAATCCAAGCTTTTAAATATTCTTTTTTACCAGGATGATAACAATAAAACCACAGAAAGTGATCACGTAGGAAGCAAAATTCAAAAATAACTACTTGGAAAATAGCTAATACAGTAGTTAATTAGCTCTGCTACCAGATAATTGGATTCTCAGTCCAGAGGTTAGTGAGATAGGTTCCAGCATAGTTTATTAAAATTGAAATTTGCATAATAGTAGTTTCTTCCACCAGTCATACAAATATATAATTTATATAATATTATAAATATATATAAATATAATGTATATATTTTATCTAATATATGTATATAAGCACTCGCTTTGCAAGTGAGAGACCTGAGTTCAATTCCCAGCGGGATGAAACCTTGGGCAAGTTTCCTTACTCCACATGCCTGATAATAATCCCTCAAGAAAAATAAAACTAACAAATCGGTCACTTCAATCCACGACTGTTTGTGGGACACTGCTGTGCCCAATTGGCTGCTGCATTTCGCCCACAAATATACAGTCACTTCACTTTACAGTATATTCTGTGAAGCGCTTTGACACTCCCCCCTTTCCCACTGAAATTGATTGAGTAGTTCTATAAGAACGTCCAGACTCCTACCCAAGTAGCTGATTTTATCACATATGAGTGAATATAAGCAACCAGCTAAGCACATAAGCAAAAAGAATATGAAGGTACACAATGTTGAGGCAGTCCTTTGCAATACAGGAGTTAGAGCTCTGACTGATTTCCTTCTCTTCTCCCCGCCACCTCTTAGGGGGGGGAAAAAAGTCTAGGAATACAATCCATTTGGAACCTTGTCCAGCCACATCTGAGACTGGGCAGTTCAGATAAATGCAGAAGGTGATTTCAGAATTTGTACCCTTCAGTGCTATACCTTTACCCTAATGCACATATTCACTGAAGCTTTGGGGAAATGTTTTTAAAATTCTTTGTGATAATTAATCCTAGAAATAAAATCAGCCATTTTAACTTGATGTCTGCCCTCTTTAGAGGTGATTCCAACCGACAAAGAGGAGGTAGCTTTCAAAGACATCGATGTAGCAATTTTGATTGGCTCCATGCCAAGAAGGGAGGGCATGGAAAGAAAGGACTTGCTGAAAGCCAATGTGCGCATCTTCAAATCACAGGGCCTTGCTTTGGATAAATATGCCAAGAAGGAAGTCAAGGTGACAAAACATTGTAATTTGTTCAGCAGTTTCATAATGTATATACACTGTAGTATTATGAAGAAAGTTTTTCAGTAAAAGGCAGCTAGAAACTGACATGGTTTTGTCAAAACAAAAACTACATATTGTAAAGAAATAGATGGAAATGTAATTTAATATAAAGTTAGTTTTTTAATGGAATTCAACCTCAGAATTCTCATGTACTCGGTTATTAATTAAAATTTAATTTTAAGATTTACTTTAACTGGGTAATTTAATGCCAGCTATTAATTGTATCTTGATGCAGCTGAGATGTAAGCAAACATTCCATTAGGAAGAGTTGACAGGCGTTTGGTTATTTATAACCATAATGTATTAATTAAAAAGAGTTGATGTGATTACAGTGTGCTGTCAAATTTTCTGTTCCTTTTCTGGTGTAATACCCATAAGCTGTTATTTCTTCTAGGTGATTGTTGTAGGCAACCCGGTGAACACTAATTGTTTAATCGCAATGAAGACTGCAACCTCCATTCCGAAAGAGAACTTCTCCTGCATGACCCTCCTGGATCATAACCGTGCAAAAGCTATGGTAGGACAAGGTTTTTGCATTTGTTCAAACTCCAGGGACACCTTCAGCCACCTTGCCACTGCTTTGAAATGTTCAGACCATTAGAAAAGGACTGTACTGAATAAGTGCAGGTTATGTGTGGAATATATTTGATGTCCAAGCAAGCGTGCTTGAATATAAATTGTACTGTAACTTACCAAAGTAAGTAATCTTCTATTCCAGCTTTTTCTTTGCGATAACTCCAAACAGTCCTAATTTGAGCGTCAACCTCTTCTCACCTGCGGCTCTGACCTCAGTCTCCCCAGCCTATCCCTCAGACTTACCAAACCTGTGTGTAACCAAGGTTCGAACCCCAGCTGTCCTTCCTACTCCACATCCAGTCCCAGGTCAGGGCCACTTTCCTTCAACTTTGTCACATTGCAGTCTCTGTCACATTAACCACTACGACTGTATTTCATGTTCAATGCAGCCAAACCCCTTTATTTAAAAAAGAACTACACTTTTGTCACCTCCTGCCTCGATTATTCCACAAAATCCAATTAATTAAAAAACTGCAGCCTGTGTATTCACCTGCACTAAATTCTGTATCCCCATCGCACCCTATCACAGAACGGAGCAACTTCAAGATCCTCACACTCGTCTCCTAAACCCTTCATGCCCTGGAAACTCCCTACCTCTCCGATCTGCTAACTGCCCACTCCACTATCCGCTGCCTCTGTTCGACTAGCTCTGGCTTCCTGCATGTCCTTTGTACCTTCTGCTTCACCATTGGCGGCTATACATTCAACCACTATGCCCCCTAAACTATGGAACATTTTCCCTCAATCCCTCTGCCTTGCCTCCTTCCCCTTTTCAGGTTAGGCCTGAGGTCCTTGCTCTTTGACCGTGCATACAGTCACCTCCCACCTACCCCAAGCTTGACATCGGGCTCCAGCATTTTTAAGCGCTCTGAGATGCTACCCTGCATGAAGGGTGCTGTTTAATTGCAAGTTGTTTTTTGGTTGCTAAACATTCAAAATTACATTTTCTTTCAGATTGGAAGCAGATTGGAAATACCAACCAGTTCTGTAAAGAATGTGATCATATGGGGGAACCACTCTACCTCCCAATATCCTGATGTCAGTCATGCCTCCGTCACACTGAATGGAGGCAAAGTAATGGGAGTCTATGATGCTATTCAGAATGATAACTGGCTGAAAGGTGAATTTATCACAGTGAGTAACATTTCATCAAATTATTTATTTTGAAAGTAATTGTGATTGAAAGTTAGTCAATTGACGTTAATCCTCTTGTTAATTATTAATCTCTCAAGTGAGATGTTAAACACAGGCCTGTTTATTTTAATATTGACAACTGTTTTGAAACGTTCAACAGTGAAAGATGCTTTTGATAGGTGCAAGTTTTGTGCATTTGATATCCAAGCAAAGGTATTTATATAAATAGTACTCTGGTGTCTTCGACAGCTTGACTATGCCAACTCCCTGCAAACTTAATAACTTTGTGTGCACAACAAAATTAACAGTGTGATTTGTGTGCATTCCTAAAAAAAAGTGTCAGTGAATTAATTTTTTTAATTGAAATTCATGGGGGGAAATCACTTATTCACTTTCACCAAAAATAGGTGTTTGTTTTTTTAAAAAGACTCCAATGCTCCTTTGTCATCCTGTTTTCCCAAATTTGCATTTCTTCCAAAGATTTTTCTATTTTTTGATTGTTGAAAACCACTTTCTGAATGGATACTTAAAATATTACTTTAGCATTTTAAGTAAATAATCCTTGCATTTAATATAACACCTTTCACATCTCCAAGTGCTTCACAGAATAAACTAAAATGCATTGATTATATTTTGTGGGCGAACGCGGCAGCCAATTGCCACAGCAATGTCCCACACACAGTCCATAGCAACATCCCATAAATAACAATGAAGTGAATGACCAGTTTTAATGTAGGGAATGTTGGCCAAGCCATCAGGAGAAACTCACCATCTCTCTTCGAATAGTATGAATCTTTAACATTCACCTGAATAGGCAGACAGAACCTTGGTTTTAAGGCATTCGAAGGGCAGCACCTCCGACAATATAACACACCCCAAGCACTGCACTGAAGCTGGTCCAGACAATATGGACAAGTCCCGACTTGAAGCTCGAACCCACAACCTTCTGACTCTTGTGTATTTGTGTATCGGGTTGCCTATTTTCACTGTGTTCAACTATGCCATGTATTTCTCAAACACGCATAACCTGCTTAAAGCTTAAAAGCATAGCAGACACCCATAAAACCACAGAAAGCTTTAGATATTTATGAATTTACTCCAATTTCAAAGCACAAAGTTAAGTAGCAATTTGAAGAAGCTGGTTGAAGTATTCAATTCTGGCTGTTACCATTTCTTCTTTTCACTAAATACATCTGCGAGTAAGCATTTTATTGGGTTGTTTATAGTTGTATCTGAAAATTCATGTAAAAGCACTTTATTTGCCTTAACTGTTTAATAGATCAATGTTTTTAAATAACAAATCCATTTCCTTTTTTCCCTTCTTTGTTAATAGATGGTGCAGGGTCGTGGTGCTGCTGTCATCAAGGCTAGGAAGCTCTCCAGTGCTATGTCAGCTGCCAAGGCTATTGGTGATCATTTAAGAACCATCTGGTTTGGCACTCCTAAGGTTCGTTAATTTTATGTTTGAACTAGATTTGCTTTGAAACTCCTCGCTCCCTCTGGCACTCTCCGCTGTTGTAACTTAAGACGCGGTCTAATATATATGCGATTCATGTAAGATTTCTATTTGCTTTGTCCTTGATTTCCTCGCCCCGCTTCAGTTCTCACTCGCCTGGTCACCTCATCTCACTATCTAGGCAAAACATTTATGGAGCATGGTGCAATTTTTGGCAAGATTTAAATGACAAAAAGCTTTCGGTAGATAAGCAGCATGCTTCTTGGGTCTTGTTAGTATTTTTAGTAGATGTACTGCTTAATGAGCATGTGTTAAAGCATTCTTAATGTGGCATTTGTCCATGGGTAAGTACCATTTCTTCTTTCAAGTATACAGTCCTGTATAAAGTAATGTGGATTTACATTGTTAAAATATCAAACAGTCAATAAGATGCTTAATGATGTTTAGGGAACAGATATTTATAATCAGATTAAGAGTATTTACCAGAGCAGTATTTGAAAACAAATAGAGGTTGATTGAGCTAATTGTATTTTAATTAGTTTTATTTTAGCTGAAACACCTTCTTCTGTTATGGAGAAGCAGCATGCATCAATTATCATCGCTGTAGCAGGTGTATAAGTTATTTATTTCATCAGATGGAAAATGCAATGATGTTCTTTTTGGTTCAGGGTGAATGGGTGTCTATGGGAGTCAATTCCGATGGAAACACTTATGGTATTGCTGAGGGTCTGATATTTTCATTCCCAGTTAAATTCCAGGTAAAAACTTATTTATCTTTAAAAATTATTTTGATGAACTCTAGTGTCTTCAATCTGTGTAGACTTCAGCTTCACAATTAACACAACGCTTAATTTGCATTGCAACATGCCTTTGTTCCAGAACAAGACTTGGAAGATTGTTAACTGTCTGGAGATCAATGATTTCTCTCGTGAGAAGCTGAATTTGACTATGAAAGAATTGATTGAAGAGAAGAATTCTGCTACTGAATTGCTGTTGAGTGATAAATGAACAGTTTGATTGTTGCCATTAAAGCACTTAGTAGTAGTGGGCACATTCAGTAATAGTGTGCACCCTCAGTGTTGTGAATAAAACCAGCTGAACGGTTTATCAAACAAAAAAATTCAGGCGTCTTGTGTTACGCTGTAATGCTTCATAATATTCAATGTGCTCCTGTTGTCCTGTGTTGAAATGGGGAAACAAAATAAAACTACCAGTAACATATCTGTTGTGTTCAGTTTTGTGTTGTGGTCCTACAGATGTGTTTTACCCATTGAGATCTGTGTTTGGGTTCTTGTGTGGAAGTAGTAACAGTTACATTTGATACAGTGTTTCATCGCATCAAAGCGCTTCAGTGAAGTGTGACTATTTGTATACAAACGCAGGAGACAATCTCTACAGAGCAGTGTCCTACAGCAACCATGACAATTTTACCTGGAAGATTGTTGGCCAGGACACTAGGAGAAACTCCCTTCTCTTTTTGAGTAGTGCCATGGGATCTTTAACAACCAGCTCAAGAGGCAGATGGGATCTTGGTGTAACGTCTCATCCGAAGGACGGTACCTCCAACCATGCATTTGAGCTTAGACTGAGTTCAAGTCCCAAAGTGGGGCTTGAGCCACAACCTTCTGAGTGAGGCAAGAGTGTGGGCCAGGCTAACACTACAAAGTCCTGGTGTGGGGCATGAATCCACAATTAAACTTGAATAGACTAGTGCAATTTCTAATAACTATAGTGGCACAATTTCAATGACTAGACAGCTACCTACTAAAGCAGCTTGACTCACAAATTGAGTGAAGAATTTGCAACAACTACTTGCATTTCTATAACGCCTTCATATCAGGTAGCATCTCGGATTGCCTTATTCAGAGTGTACCTAACAAAAATTAGACCAATTATTAATCTTTGCTAGAAGACTAGCATATATCACAGCCAGAAATAATTATAGATGGCTTAAATTTAAATTGTTTCACAGGTAGGAAAGTGGGGCACATTCCTGTGCTATGACTAGAATATTGTAGAAATTAAATTTTAAAAAGTTTTCCTAGCTTCATATGTGTTGCAGATACACTTGGGCAAACCTCAAGAGGGAAATAACCAGGTACTCTTCAACTGAGACATTAAGTGCAATAAAACCTGCTTTGTTGATGTGCGTAGTTACACAGATTTTTAATACATATATATAATGGAGATTTCCAAGAAAATTGCATCAGCAACAATATTTGGCATTTTGAACAGCTTAGTCTGATCAAATGTCCCTGGTGAAATAGAATGTGCCACTTCGATTTTATAATTCTATTGCTGTGACATTGTGGTGAAAGTTCTTGTACAGCCATTAATAAGTACTGACTCATAAGATAGTCACTTCATGTTATTTATTAAAAAGCTTAAAACCAAGCCATTGAAAGCTTTGAATTAGCTATCAATAAATACAGACTTTATTCTTGAAGGAACTTTTCTAGCTCCACCATCAGAAAACAAAGTCAACCCATGTGATCAGTGTTGACCATTCATAAAGACATGATCAAGGTGGTGACTCAATTTCAATACTTCTGCCAAGCATGGATGCAGTTCTGAATGTTATGCAAACTGCTTTATGGTTTGTTGGCCAGCTGTGTATGTACCGTCCAGGGTGGAGGCACTATATAAATTCAAGTTGTTGTTTGGTGAATCATCAGTCGCTTGTGTTTCACACCAGCTGCCAGTGGCATTTGTGAAGGTTATAGAGAAGTCTGTTCCCTTGGTTATCTTGTCCCCTCACTGAGTTAGGTTGTCAGGACACAAATAGATGCATGGTAAGAAAATTGGAGCAGGATGAATACAATTAAAAACAGCCATCTTTTTAATGGTATTTGTGCACCAGGGGATCTGTGATTCTTACTAATAAAAAAGGAATAGACTAAAAATAAAAGGAATAAGACTAAAAATAAAAAAAAATGATGAAAGCAAATTCCAGACTGCACCTAATGAGTTCCAATCTGTACCCTTTTTTGTGTGCAGGTTATACTCTTTAATCACTTTGCGATATTTTGATATCATAAAGCACTGCATTAAGTGCAAATATTATGATCAACGTAGACTGGCAGCAAGCAACAATAATAATGATATAGTGCTATTTAATACAGCGCTTTATATCATCAAGGCATCTCAAAGCACTTCACAGGAATTTACTTTAAATTGTAGTCACTGAGTATTAGTAATATTCTTTGACTTGTGAGGTGAGTGCTCTAACCAATATGCTACAGGATTCCACGTAGGTGAGTCTAGCAGCCAATTTTCACACCCAATGTCCCACAAGCAGCCATGAAGTGAGTGACCAATTTCATTTGGGGGATTTTGGCTGGGGGGGAGCTCGAGGGAGAGGTGCAATTCCTGTTCTTAGATACCAATGGCATGTAATATAAGTCACTTTGTATTGAAAGTGTGTTGCAGGGACGACCGGACCAAATTAGCAGTGCTCTTTTGGAAAAGGAGTTGCTGTGTTTTGGAAACACATAACTGCTATGAAAAATTGGAAGAAAATGGCTGTTTGTGATTTTTTTTGTTCAGCCGGGTGTCTGACACATTCGAAAACCCATTACCATGTTTAAGAGTATCCAAACCAAACTGAGAATTCCATACATCCCACCTACACATGGAAATTCCGGAGATAAATTGATGAAATGGAATGCCCACTCTCTCCCTGGAGGGACGCATCCTAGTTACCCAATTCCGCAAAAGCTTGGGGACCCCAGAGTGTGCACTGGGGTATTTCTGGAGTCTAACCAGCTAGAACAGCATAGTTTGCCAAATATATCATTGCCTGCCAAGCTTTCCCACTGCTTGTCCAGCTAGGACCACCCTATCCGTTAGGGCTTTGGCTTGCAGGGTTAACAGGAGCTGAGTGGGAGGGATTCCCTGTCCCCGGTGACTGCTCTGCTATTCCAGATCCTGCTGATGAGCCAGACTGGCCTGCAGCTGTGCTGGCTAGCCCCCTGGCTCAGGTACCAAACTACAGAGACCCCCACAAAAGGCTGCCTCGATTCTATATTCCATTGCCAAGCATGTCACCTTGGAGCCAGTTTAACTCCAAGGAGACCCTGCTTATCGTTGTCAGTGAATGGCATTCTCAAGGAACACTACAGAACCCAGATGTTCCTCCCAATACTTAATGCACAAATGACCTGAATATAGGAATAGAGAAGATTATTACTTGGTTTGCTGATAACATGAAACTTGAGGTGTTGTGAATTGTGAGAACAGCAGAAAAATGCTAGGGGACATAAACCTATTAAGCAAGTTGGAGCAACGACAGAGGATGGAATTTTTTGGGGGGTTTAGCTGGGTGTCTGACACATGTGGAAGCCCATCAGTATGCTTATGAGTATTCAAACCATGATGCAATTTAACTATGCAAAGTGCAAATGCACCTTAAATGGAAAAATAGTGGTTGGAAATTATATTTCAAATGAGGCACTAGGAGGCGTACATAGGCATAGATCTAGGAGTCTAACTCCATTAAATCTAGTTCGAAGTTTCAGAAACCAATCAATAAGTCTAATCAATAAAATCAATAAGTGATGATGGGTTTAGTAACAAGGGGTCAGTGCTGGTCGGACCTCATTTGGAGTATTGTGTTCAGTTTTAGGAATCCATCAGACGTGACACTAAACTGAGGTCCCATCTGCCTGTTCAGGTGGTTGTTAAAGATCTCATGACACTGTAAAAGGGAAGGGAATTTCTCCTGGAGTCCCCATCAACAACCCCCCAGTAAAATTGGACGATCACTTTATGGCCGTGTGTGGGGCATTGCTGTATGCAAATTGGCTGCCACGTTTGCGTTCAAAAATACACAGTCACTAAACTCTACAGTAAATCCTGTGAAGTTCTTTGAGGTGTTTTGATGATGTGATAAGGTGCGAAATCAAATGCAAAAATTATTATTCTTGGTGATCAAAAAGGATATTATTATTGCTGTGTATTGAAAATGCTAAACCAGTTTCATATCACTTTTAATAGAATATTTTATTCGTCTTCAAATTAGAGTTTTAAATTTGAGAGCAAACCCCCTCTGTTACTTCTCATTCTCTGGTTTTCTTAGTACACGCATGACTTGTGGCCAAGTAAGCATATAGGTTCTGTTTCTTGTGCTTCACTAGCGGGCTCGATGCACAGAGGTGCCTCTCTTTCCTGTATTCCCAGTCTCGGATCGGCACGTCCCCACAGCAATATGATTGAGAGTGAAGACTTTGTATTACTGAATCTGCATTGCACCAACTGTGTGCGTGCCAGAACTTAGTTCTATCATCAAATAAGATGTCCTAATGTAGGAAAGTGAAACCGCTCAATATAAAATGACCACTAGGAGGAGACTGTGTGTTAATTTTAAAAATCTCTAATTAAAATTATACAACAGAAAAACTGTATCAGTGTATGTATATATATATTAAGAACACAGGAATTTGGTGGTGTATGAAGAATATGTAATAATATGCTTGTAGGATTATTGTTCCTGAGAACCTTTAGCAGAGTATGTATCACTGTAATGAGAGCAGCCTGCTGATAGCACCAGTACTGAAGTGAATCCTGCTCTGAATTGGATTATCAAGTGATTGATTCTCACACACCCTAGTACAAGGAACACAGCGCTTGTAGGTGAAATGGAAACAATAAATATAGCATGATGATAAATGCTCCTTATATAGAATACCCTCATATTCTTCTCAACTCTCTTAAGAGGAGGTACCTTGCCATGTGCTCTTTTCAACCCACTGCATCTCAGGCCACTCTAAAATAGATCAACCTACAACAGGGATACGGTTTATCACAACAGTGTAAAGAATATAAATTTATGGGTTTTGTAGACCTACTTGCATCTTGGAACACAAGGCAGGAATTGTTTGTTTGAGTGTCATATTTATAAATTTGCCAATCCAGACAAATCTTTGTGTTGCCTCAAGGATGTATGTCGTATTGCCTCTATCTCAGCCTATTGCCTAGTGAATCTGCGCACATCGGAACCTAATCTTTCCTCACCCAGGAACTTGAAGACATTTGTGGGAAATTCAGTCTTCCCCCTTATGAATGGAATTACAGACTCCAACTGACAGCAATTGCAGTGTGGGTTAAGGCTGACCCTTGGTACGCTCCCTTTTGCACATCCCTCAAACCACGCTAAAGTGGATTTTTTAAAAATAAATGACAGCACTGTTTCCTGTGACAATGCCTCAGGTCATTTATTT